AATAAAAGAAAAATAACTTCTTGCTCATTGAACAGAAGAAAATAATGTGGACCAAAAATAAAAATTATTTGTCAAGTGTATGATTTTTAAATAAATTAAATACTCTCTGAGGTATTTTAATTCATTATGATTAAATACTAATTACCAAGACTTGAAATTTTTAGGATTGAGTTCTCATGATAGAGAGCATCTCCTTTGATTTTTCCAAAGTCAGAGAGCACATCTGTGCTTCTAACCCTAATTTTCAAGCCTAAATGACTATTTTGGCTCTATTTAATCATATAAACTAAAATATCCCTCAGAAAATTATGGGATCAATTTTGTTAGGTTTCTTATGGTCAGAGAAGCTTAGGAAAAGAATTGTGATGGTCTGAAAAAAATTGTATATTTCTGCTATTAATTAAATATTTTTTGCCTTGTATTAATCTATTTAAATTAAATAGAAATAAAAAACTGACAAAATTAATTCCACATTGTTCATAAAAATCATTTCAACTCACTGTAAGAATTTTAAATTTAGTTGATTTGACCATTAAAGTGGATTTTGTAAGTAAAAATAGTATTTTTGCACAGAATAAATTATATTAAATTAAATTAGCTTAGAAAAATTATAAAAAATAATTTTCTGAGTATCTTGTGATCAGGGGCATTTAATAAAAATAAAACCATTTTTGTGAAAATATTTTATTTTTATAGTATATTTTGAATTAAAAATAATTAAAATAATCAAAATTCTAAAAAGTGGAAAAAGACAAAATAGTTCAAAATATGTCCAATTGTTCCCTGATATCTTAAGACACCTTAAAACATTTTCTTGATTTTTCTAAATTAAAAAAAAATTCTAAAGGCCTAAAAATGCATTTTTCTCATTTTCCATTAAAATAATTATAATAAATTCAAAATAAATCATAAAAATATAAAAATTTGTTCATCTCTGTTTCTTGGACTTGTGGGGGTTTAATAAATATTTAAAAGTGATTTTTGAAGATTAAAAAATATTTTTTTTGTATTTAAATAATCATTGAAAATGACCTTGAAAATGACCTTTTAAATAATCATTGAAAATGACCTTTAAATAATTATGATAATTACAATATTATTCAAAAATCATAAAATTTTGTATAAGTATTCTTCTGACCCAGAAAAACCTCCAATAATTTTTCCATAAATTAAAACTTCACTTTGATTAATTAAATAAATTAACATTGAAAAATCCTATTTTTGGGTTAAAATAATAATTTTAAATTAAATCAAATTTTGAAAAATCATGCTCTACTCCCTGATAGTTTAATTGATCCATGAATGGGATACTCAAAGATTTTCTAGGCCATTTGAATTTTGCTTGAAGAATTATAAGATGAAAGACCAAAAGGGCAAAGTGGTAATTTTAGATTTTGGTGCCTTGATCAAAATTTAAGATTAACCATTGGGGATGAGTAATTTTGATCCTTAATGAATGCATTGGATGATTGAAATACAATGGGTTAAAAGTAGAAACTCACTTACCACATTTTCACAATATCAACAAAATCATAATTTTCCTAATCTTCATGACTTGGAAGTCAATTAAGATCAAATGATTCTTAAGTTATGGGCTTATGCTAGGAAGATGATAATTCACTTGCTTAAGCCTAAAATTGATGATGATTTGTGCTTCCAATAAGAATAATGTCACTTAAACTAAGATTTTAGCTATCACCATTTTCCACCATTATGATTGTTAAGGACTTGGTAGTGACCTAGGCTCGATGTCAGGAGAAGGGATCCCAGGGGCAGATACCAACTCCTGCCTTGTGGTGAATCCCTCCTCAGGTTGGTTGTCATCAGGTTTGCTGGGAGCGCGTTCACGCACAAGAGGTGCACTAATAGCATGTTCTTATTTTTGACTATTGGTTCTCAACTGTGGGTGCAATCTAAAAAATTTCTCTTGCGGGGGTTCAAACACCTTGCAGTGTCTGCAGTACTAAGATTTTTGTTCCATAATGATTTTTTGTCAATAACCATTGTGAGCAGAGTCAAGCTAAACTTCTTCCACATCTAGTAATGTAATATCTCTTTCAATCAAAATCCTTGCAATTGAGACCCTTGAGAAATGAACTGTAAGTAAGTCTACCTATAAAGGTTTTCCAAGGAAAGTCTCAATTGCATATAAGATAGGTAGGTCAAAAAATTGAAGCTTGAGTTCAGCTAATGAAAACCAGATATGCGCAATTGGGGGTTCATGACTGGGATCAAAATTAGGTGTCCATTTGAGCAATTTCATATGTTTGCCCTCGATTTCATATGTTTGCGCCCTCGATTGTGATGAATTCTTTTGAGAAAATTCTTGTGTAATATTCTTCTATGCTCAGCTATATCATAACCTGTCTTTCGTCGAAAAGACACACTTGTCAATCTATATATATCAAGAAAGAGAGGAGGGGACCATGCAAATCATATGTCCATTATTCAGTTTACGTGTTCACTATGTAGATTGCGTGGTGGCCATTTAAGTTAGGTATCTATCATACTAATTATGTGTTTTCTATGCAAAATTTATATGTTAAGTGCTTACCTCATGCAAAATCTATTTGTCATGTTCTAAAAATGTAAGTCTCCATATGCTAGTATAAATCCTATGCAAGTTGAGTAATGTATGCATTCTACAAAAAACCATGTGGTAATCTTAAGCCTTTTATGAAAAGCCAAATTATCATGTGGTAATTTAATGTCAAAAAAGATATCCGCGTGTTAATTCTATGTTAGAAAATAGCAAACAAAAAAAAAAGGGTCTATGTTAGCTTATGCATCATGTTAACCAAATCCATATTAGTATATGTTTCATATTAGCAAACAAATCCATGTGTTAACCTAGGTTTTATGTTAGAAAGCAATAAAAAATTCATGTTAGCTCATGCTTCATGTTAAAAAAGGGCATATAATGCAAATTGGGATTTCATGAAAGATGGATGAGGAAAGTTTTGTAATTCCATGCAAATAAGAGTTGGGATTTCATGTTATCCAAAAGTGGGTCCCACCCTCATACTTGTGGGCCCATGTTTCCGGTCTTACACTCTCTTACAGTAAATCAAGATTGGTCTTTATACCAGTTTAATGTCAAAAAAGTTTTCTTGAATGATGAACTTGATGAAGAAGTACACATTGTTTGTTAAATCCAATCTTAAAGAAAAAAATGCTACTCTCGTAGTCTATGTAGATGATATTATTTTAACATGTAATGATTCAAGGGAAACTATCAGATAAAAGGATATTTATAATAGAGTTTGAGATCAAAGACCACGGTACTCTGAGATATTTTTTGAGAACAGAGACGGCTCAATCTAAGAGAAATTTCATATCCCAAGAGAAAAAAATCTTAGACATGTTAAGTGAAATTGATATGATTTGTTATAAGCCTGCTCACTAGCCCATGGATTCCAAGAAAGGTTGTACATAAGTGAAGAAAACAGTCAAGTTGACAAAAGAGATATGAAACACCCATGAGCAAACTACTTATCTCACATAAGGCTTGATATTGCATACTCAGTTAGTGTATTTGAACAAAACAAGAATAATCCAAATGATAATTATCTATAAGCATTAATTAGAATCCTGAGATACATGAAGATGACTCCTAGATATGATTTGCTCTTCAAAAGAACTTAAAAACTATGAGATTGGGGTTTACACATATGCTAATTTGGGAGACGTAACTGATCAGAAATAAGCCATTGGAAACTATTCATTCATCGAGTTACCCTAACTCGAGTTGAGTATACTTGGTAAAAAATTAAGATTGTCAAAAGATAGCTTCATCAAGAAGGTTCATTATACAAGATTTTTTCCACTTTCGGAGATCCTGATCGTGGGGTCGAAACGAAACAAAATCTTGTGACACTATTACAATCTCAAGCAGACTGTTCGCCGTCTCCTTGACAATTTAAGCCATGCGGCACCTTTCTTATTAGTATTTTAATATTACTTTAATTAGAATCAGTGTTATTTCTTCAACAAAACTATTTAAGTGCCCTTACTTTTTTTAGTTTATTAGACTTTTTCTTAAATTTTATATATTGTGGAGCTATAATCTGAGTTATGCTATAAGGAGTGTTGTTGTATCATCTTTGTTTTGCAAGTGATGTGTTTATATCCTTCTCAGGAACAGATGGTGGATCCTCCTAGCCATTTCACATTTAACTCGATATATTTTATGAGAATAGTTTTTGAACTACTCGATCCTGCTTCCAACAATAGATTCCAGCAATCAAATGCCTCATGCCCCTATTAAACTCCATCAACCTCCCATATGCTCGGCTCCCCTTACTATCCCATAACCAATTCCCAGTTAAATCCCTTTCTTAAACACCTTTTAGGTGCCCATGAACGGTGTCATCTACTAATAGAGACCGACAAACCCTAAATCTTTAGGTATTTATCTTCGTTGTCCCAAAATTAAAATTCAAAAAAAAAAAAAAAATCTAATCAAATATCAAATGAACTCCTTATCAGAATTGTCTAGTCCGAAATTGAACTTAAAAGAGAGAACAAAACTACCATAATTCATATATAACCTAACCCTAAATTTTCAAAAACTCACATTTCTACTTCCACTACCGCCAAAATATAAGCTCACAGTTAACTGTTAATTTGTAAACGTACATCCATCGAGATTGTGCAAGTGTAATGTATCATTTTGGCTGCTAAGGGGTCTATGCGGTGTGTGACAATAACTGACATCTAAACATCTTATATAAGAGATCTCATTGTGCAAGTGTACAACGTCACAAGCAATATGTAAAAATTCAAATCCAGGATCGCACAGCTTATAATGCCAATAACATTGTGCCCTAACTACAATTCCAGGCCTTATTACAGCATGAAGACACATAATTCATTCAAAGATAAGAAATGCAGTAGTAAATGGACCATAAAAGAGACTTAAAGTCTGTATGTTTTAATTGTTTCCAAAAAAATAAAAAGGAATAAATCATCTTGAATATGAAAATAGCACTACAGCAAACCTTGGAAGGACTCTGGTTGAAATAAAGTCCTTTTAGTTTTTCTTTATCAAGCATAAGCCCAGTTGGAGGTTTATCGTTCCCATTAGCGTACAACAGAAGTTGAGACTCTTGCAAGAAAACTTCAGCAGACGCTAGCTAAAATTTAAGGAAGCTGCAATAAGTATTTGTTGAATATGTTTCAAATAAAATATAAGACACCAAACTGACCAATTTTACTATACAAGACAAAGTATGGCCAAAATACTTCCTTTGCTAAGAATACCAAATTGTCAGATGCTGTTGCTTGGGTAAACTTAATATAATAAAATGTGAGACATCAAGTAACCAAATTTTACTATACTACCGGAGAGTATGGCCAAAACCCTTTCTTATATATTTAGCAAATTGTCTGATGCTATTGCATGGGTAAGCTTAATGTAAAATTAGAGGGAAACAAAAGTGCATAAAAGGAAGCCATTGAAACTTAATACAAAATGAAGACTAAAAAAAATTCAAAAATAAAAAAATGTCCACCCCCAAGTTTTTAGAAAAACATTTATATTGCAAGCAGCTCGACAAAAAGAATGATTCTAATATTAAACAATTACATAAATATATTTGATTGTAATATAATAGACTTAGACAACTAAAACAAAAAAGCCATAAGATAGGTGTAGATTTTAAGATAAACAATTCTTTTAATAATTTTATTTATTTATCATTTGTAATAAAATTAGTAAATACATCAAATTATTATAAAACGGGGAACTTCAAATCAAAAGATTGCTTGGTATCATTCATGAACTAACTTCTTCTGATGTTATTCATAATGACACAATGTTTTGAGTTGACAACATAAGATTTTTCTTAGCAAGAAACTTATTTCATCAAGCAATTAAAATATTAACTTCTTCATAGTTCATCAAATAAAAACATGAGCAGGAAGAAAAAAACATGCAGATGATAATCATTTTTGAGCCACATGTTCATTTTTCTGTTGTGTTTCACAGCAATTTGTTTTTGACATGCTTTTTATTTGTTGAGACAACGAAGAAAAACTATGCAAATACCCTATATCATGCGAAAGGCTATATTACAGTAACCCAATTCAAAAAAGATCTAAAAAAGAACAAGATTGATAACTATTCCATTGAGTGGTGGTCAAAACAACATAGCATGTGATAAGATTTAGTAAGTTGTTGTTTGCCTATACGCTACAAGCACAAATATATATATATATATCCAGCCGGATAGCTTAGCATTAACTAAATCAGGACTTGCAGTCAAACGATATTAATATTGGTTCTACAATCCACGAGTTTTTATAATTTTGAATATATAAAAGAGCCACAATAAAACTATAAAATAAACTACATAGAAAACAAAACATCTAGAAATAACAAATTAATCTACAAACAACCTCATCCAACATATAGTAGTATCTCGCTACCTAAAAAAAGGATAAAAAAAAACACTACAATCACATCACAACATAATACCTATCTGCTGTAGTCTTCCTCTTGTAAACTAATTTTCTACTGTTGAACATATCAATCTACAGTTTTTCCTGAAAAAAATAATTAAGTTCAATAATAAATTTTCACGACTTAATGAGCAATTAGAATCTTATTATACATTAAATACATATGCAAATGTCATGCATGAAGGTTCAAAATAAACGTAGTACATTATTTAATCAAACTGTAAACTTTCATTTTAAGTTTAACATTTATTATTTCGATATAAATATTTATCTCTATTAACGTCTTTCAGAAGTCATATTAGGATTATCATCATACTCGAAGGAATCATTAAAATTATAACAATAACAACCCTAAAAAAATTTTGACCCGAAAATACACATTTTTATTTTCATTTTCCTGCCCAGGTATATTGCATCTCCTATCAGCACTATCAAAAGTCAAATCCTAATTGACTTAATCATTTAAATTTCATTTCATTGTTATTTTGTCCATTTAATATAATTGAACAACCATTTATGCTTTCTCGTTTTACTAAATTGAATTTTGAATATATTTTTTAAACTTGCAATATGCATATAATAAAAAAACAGGTTTTTATAAAACAATAATGCAAGTACTTCTAAATAAATCTTTAATTTAATACAAATAAGAAAGCAATTAATCACCTTATCTTTTTCCTTCCTGCAAAACCATGATGTCAAGCCTTAGTTCTTCGAATAAATTCCTTTTAATCACTAATTCAATTTATAATACTATTATTAATACCAAACAATTAATTAGAATAAAATCTTTAACCTAACAAAAAAGATAATCATATCCTTTTCTTCTTTATCTTATATGAAATCAATAATTTGTCTCCCCCATTTGTATGAAGTAAAATATTTATTATTGAAGGTTCCTATTGAAATATAATAAAAACTAACATTAACATTTGTAAAATTTATTTAAATTAATTAAATCTGAAATAAAACATGCCCTAAATCTCCTTAATTCACAATTCTGCTCGGCTCGATCCCCCTTATCCTGCATGTCGGCTTCTTCTGCTCTGATAGGGCTTGAGCTCCTCTTCTTTATCCTTCGAGAATGGCTCAAATTAAATACCAAAACAGTAAGCCACCTGCACCATTCCTTCATACGACTAAGGCATGGCGCCGTTTCAACTTTCAACTAGGGTTTGGCATCTAATATCAGAAAAGACTAGAAACATACGAGTCCTTTTATTCTTCCTCTTCTTCTTCCTCTTCGTTCTCCTTAACTATCATTGCTTCAGTCTCCTTCGTTCCATCTTCCTTCAGTAGCAGACAAGCCGCTCAGCTCAAAGCTGTCGACTAGGGTTGCACAAGCAAGGCCAATAACTTTTTCTTCTTTTTCTTTCTTCTCCCCTTCTCGATCTCTCTCACTCTATCTCACGCTTTCACTTGTTCAATGGTTTGAATGAAGGGAAGTGCAGAAGAAGAATGCGATTTATATCCTGTGAGCGGCAACATCTCCTCTAATTCACACTTAATTTATTATAATTATTACTATTATTTTATTTATTATTTAAAATTTCAGTTGTTACAATCTCCTCATGAAATTTGAAAACATTTAATACAAAAGCACACATACCTCAAAAGAAAAGATGTTGATAGCTTTCTTGCATATTACAAACTTTCTCGTAAGTAAAATATTTCGATCTGTGCTTCAAAAAAATCTTCAGAAGTGAATCTCCATATTATGAAGCTTCTTAACATCATATCCAAGAATCAATCCAAGCTCTTCTATATATAAACCAAATCAAGTTATATATCACTTGAGTATGTTATCAACCTATTAGATTCATTTGCAATAATACTTTCTAAATAAAAAATGTTGATAAAATTATGCACTCCTTTCATATGGGCTAGTAAAGACAATCGATAAGGAATATTTTTAATTTTCTCCACAATCTGATGCAGGCATTTGTGGTTGAATTGACCGACCAGTCCAGTAGGGAGGTTGGACCGACCGTCTACTATTGAACGAGAAATACCAATACTTTAAGCCCTCCTCCTACCTATCTTATTATAAATATATCATTTATTGCTTGGTTCAGTTTTTGACGTTTGTTAATTTCAGATTTTCTGGCCGCCAAGCTTTTTCCCTTGCTACAGTTGTATCCGAGGACAGTTGGTGCTCCTATTGTATCCTGCTCCAAGGTGGTGGCTACCTCAACCTGATTCCCTCACACAGACCTTCCCCTCTCTCTATTTTTTCTTCCATTCGCCGCCCCCTCCCTCCCCCTTTCTTGCTTCTAGTCGTCGGTCTCTCTTCTTCATTCTTATTTCCTTCTTGTCAAGTCAACACAAGCGCCACCTGCACCCTTCCAGTTTGTTGCTGCCCTCTACCCTACTTCCTACCAGCTAAATGCCCCTTGCCTCTACCGATTTGGGCCGCAGGTCCATCCTGCACTACCCTCCAAGCAATCAGCTCCTCCGGTTACCACCATCCAAGAGATATCCCCTCCATCGCTAGCGGGATATTGATAGTTTGTTAGTGCTTTTTGTTTTGGTTCGAGTCTTGATTGTAATTCGTTGATTAGAGTAATAAAATTTAGTTTTCTATCGGATTATTGGTTAACTATGGTAACAACTTGTATCAGAACTAGCCTAACCCTATTCCTACTCTAGGGTTTCCAAGTATTGCCCTACTGAAGCCACCTTCGCCAAAAAATTTTCTTTCATAATTTCATATCATAGACAAATTTTGAACTAACCCTAATTTCCCCTTGTTAGTAACCCAATTTAATTTTTTTGTACTTTCAATTAGTTTCATACAACCTTTTTCACCTCCCAACTCAAACCCTAACCATGTCACCAAAGAGATACATGCCTGAGCCTAACCGGGAAGACATACAGCGAGAGAACTGTTGACTTCAGCGGGGGCTTACGGACATGAAGGATGAAATACAGAAAAAATTACCCTCGATCGTGACAGAGAAAGTCAAATATGCAAAAGAGACGAGAATTTCAACCCCTTCGATAGGGATGATTTCAGTGATGAAGATGAAAGGCCACGACGCTATGGAATTAAATATTAGAGGGAAGCAAGAGAAGAGCTTACATATAGAGGACACGGGGACTTTAGAATAAAGGTGGATCTAACAAAATTCAATGGACGTACGGATCCAGATGATTTTATCAAATGACTACAATCAGTTGAGTAGATCTTTGAGTAGAAAGAGATGCTAGAAGATAAAAAGGTGAAACTTACAACTATCAAAATGAGAAAACACAAATTTGTGGTGGGACAACTTATAGAGATAGAGGAAGAGAAAAGCCAATGAAAATATTACCAAGTGAGAGAAGACACGATGCAAAGAAAATATCCATCCTTACTGTTGAGTATATGTTTCTAAGACTTCACCACCTGCAGCAGAGAGACCTATATCAGTGGAGGAGTTCAAGGCGCGGTTTAATGAGTTGTAGATAAAGTGTAATTTGGTCGAATCAAATGAACACTCTATAGCATGTTATCTCAGGTGCCTGAAGCCCGGTATTAGCAATGTGGTGTAGTTCCAACCTTATTGGGCATGTGGAGAAGTCCAAACCTTAGCATTAAAGGTGGCCTAGAGGGATGCACAGCAGCTGGCAGGGTGGTTGTGGTTCTCAACAACAAGCAGGGGGGAATGGGGAAGGTTGGATGGTGGCTGGA